TGGTGTTCCCGGACCGGGGATCGGACAATGGCCTTTGGGCTTGACAGGCCCGGAGCTCTACCATTGAGCTATAAGGGCGATGCCCGTACGTCAGTCCGAGAACGGACTATTCATGGTATGAGAGGGCTGTGCCGGGTGGATTTGAAACCACCGACCTGTGGCTTTCAAAGCCAGCGCTCGACCCACTGAGCTGAAAGGGCGTTGCCCTTAAGCTTGTCCATTCAAGGACAACAGTTTATGAACGAGAGGGCTGTGCCCTGGTCGGTTCGAACCACCGACCTGTGGCTTCCAAAGCCAACACTCGACCATTGAGCTAAAAGCGGATTGCTCTAAAGCTTGTCCAAGCGTGGACAATCGTTCATAAAAAGGACATGGCTGTGCCCTGGTGGGCTTGAGCCACCGACCTGTGGCTCTCAAAGCCAACGCTTAACCATTGAGCTAAAAGGGTGTTGCCCTTAAGCTTGTCCAAGCGTGAACAATCGTTCATGGAACGAGAGGGCTGTGCCCTAGTGGGTTCGAACCACCGACCTATCGCTTGTGAAGCGAGTGTTCAGCCGCTGAGCTGTTGTCGACGACTCGAATGAGTCAAGAACATTGCTCTAAGCGGTTTGCAGCTCTTGGAGTAGGCGCGGTGCGCGAGCGTAGGTCTGAGACCGCTTGAGAGCAAGATGCGCGCTGCGCTTGGAGCATTAGGCCGTGGGCAGACGACGAGAAGTTGGGCATCAACGATGCGTAGGCGTTTGTGAGCTCACGGAGCTGTACAACGCTGGTGTGAGGTGTAGTAACCTCCGCCGTATTAACAAGACGTGACCTCGCTGAGGAGAGTTTCGAGAACGGAATGTTCTCATCTTAGTGGGGGAGAGTGTAACGGGGTTACATGGTGTGGAACACACAGGGGTACGAAGTACCCGGAGAGTTAGCAAACTCTCAGTACATAAGTTGGAGAGTTAACAAGGTCTCTCAGTACGTTGTCGAAAGCCACACGTTATGCATTTGATTGA